CCTCTACCTTTTCCTGTCGTAGTCTCATATTTATGTGTTTATAAGGTAACTTACAATTAATCCAAGGGAATCTGCCTGGGCCTTTACAGATCACTAATCTTACTCTCTAAAGAATAATTATTAGTAGGCATATTTGCAATGGTACTTAGGTGTTATGTCAGACTCTGTGAACTTAAAATAAAAGAAAGTCCATTGTCTATGCTAACAATTGATCCACCTACTGGTTACCAAATAGCTCATCCCTCCTTTAGCAGTTGTGATATTGAAAATAATGATAATGACATTAAAAATCGAAAATCTACCTTCGATACTAGAAACAAAATGAAGCAAACTTCAATGTTTTCTCTCTTTGGTCCCTCGACATCTAAAATGGGTCTGGCTTTCTTGGCACCCACTGTCCCCAGCTGTGGCGGCTACAGTCCGGTCATGTGATATTAGTACTAATCAGAATTGTGCACCACCAGCTGTTCCTGTTTCCATGCCTCGTCCTCAGGGTCCTGTGCTGATTCTGGTTGACCCAGTTGGTTGTAGTGTCAGTGTCTTGAGCATAAATTATGAAAAGCAGGCCTGGTCCATCCATCATCTAGATTCTGCAGCCACCTGCCCAAGGTTGCTACTTGTGGACTGCTGTACAAAAGAGCTTAGCATATCCAAGAAAACAATGGCATGCTCTTTCACTAATCTTATTCAGTCTATTACGGAGGCTTCCATGTGCCTTAGTCCTTTAAATTCAGCTTTCTTTTCTGTCTAGTGAGGGAGTTCCGTCATCCCAAATCTTTTGAGAAACATAAAATGCAACGAGAGAAAAGAGTCAGAAGAAGTCTTGAGTCTGAGTCCCACTTGAGGATGTGAGCACATTTATGCAATCTGGACCTGCATATTCATCTAATAAATTCAGTTTGGAAATTTGGCTCCCATCACCACTTCCTAAAAGAGATGGAGTGCCAGGAGGGTAGCAGCTGAGAGGGGAGGGACAGAAGGCTGAAGAGTGGGCGAGACTAATTGGTCTTGTCACATAACACAGATTAGGTTATGTCTGCCTAAAACTCAGTGAGAGAAGGGATATTTAATCATTGTTTATACTAAAAAGCTATAAAGCAGAGCATCCTCATAAAACCAGATGCAGGGGTAAAAGCACAAGCTTCTTGACAAGAAAACCGGAAAAAATAAGTGTAAGACAACTTTAAAAAGAACTTCTACTTGTCAACCAATAGGAGTATTGAGAACAAGAGCAGCAAAGTATCATCTGGTAAAAATTATAATAGTAATTTTTGATAATTTGCTAAGGCCATTGAAGAAATCTTTCTTGCTGAATTGATCAATAGATTTTTAATAAGAGAGAGAGAAAGTTTGCTGGGATCATGGTGAGTATTCAAACAATAAAGAAAGATTGAATTTTCAAGAATTAGGGAGGAAGCATTTTAATAAAAATTACTAATATGATTAACTGTTGAAAGATTCTTGTTTCTCGATAGAGTAAGGCATCCTAGAATCTCTAATATATAATTGCTATTATAATTCAAGTTGCTGCATTTTTTAAAATGTAAAACTGTATTTTAAAGGCAATAGTAGGGCCTCCCCGGTGGCGCAGCGGTTGAGCACTGGGTTGCGAAGCTGCCCGCAGCCTCTGCAGCGCCGGTTCGATCCCCGGTCGCCGGGCGAAGGTTCCACATGGCGCGCAGACCTCTCCTGCCGCCTGCTGCTCCCCTCAGCAGTGTATTTCGGTCCTTCTGCCTGCTCTGCTCCCCGCTCTGGCTCTGGTGAATTCTCTCACCCTCCCACACTTTTGACTGTACCCAGTGCTTGAATGAATGAATGAATGAATGAATAAACAAACAAACAAACAAACAAACAAATAAATAAAGAGATCTTAAAAAAATAAAAATAAAAAATAAAAGTAATAGTGTGCAAATGACAATCATGAACCCAGACTGGATGATCCCTCATTTACTCTTCATTTTAAGGGGTAACTGCATATTAGCTAAGTAAATAAAAGAAGAAAACTAATGAATTCATTCTCTTTCCTTTCTTCTTAACTTGCTTTTCTCCTGCCCAATTCCTTCCCTTCCTGAATTATTTGGACCCTTTCTAGTGAACTCCACTTATTTTAATAAGAAAACATGAGGAAGAAATTGAAAACATTGATTTGTGACTAAAGGTTCCTTTAGATTACTGTGGGTTTTATAACACAGCCTTTTCCCCAGACTCTAGTGTTAGAATGAAGTAGATATTTCCCACAGGTCATTCTCTCTTTTGCCTCTGGCCACTGACCATAGTTCAGTCAACCGCTCTGGGTTTGTCTTACACACCACATGGAACATCCCAAACACTCCTCATTATTAAACCCAGCTGTGAGCTAACTAATGATACCAAAATAGATTTTTCTTTCCTTTTCATATTGGGAAACATACACCAGAGCCACAGCTTCCTGCAAATTGTTGAGCCTATTCTGCCATTTTAGTAAATTATCAGTGGCTTTTATAAGGCTTTTTTAAATTTAGTTGGCAGACCTACTTGGTCATATTGCACATGTCAAAGAACATAAAGTTGTTTTTTTTAATTTTTAAAAAGATTTCTACAGGTTTTCTCTGCTCAATAAATCTTTCTAATCCTTTCATTTTCCACTCTTCAGTTATTGGATATTCACTTTCTGTAAAATAGTAATTAGTAATAGTCCTAGAAAGAAAAATAATGGGTTATATATTGCACCTTCCACACTCAAGTTCTCCATAGATGTCTTTAACAAGCTGAATACTAAGGTAACACAATGACTATAAGGTAAAATTGTGTCAACCATTGAGTGTTCAGAAATGGCTCACCTATGAGTTCAAGCTAGAACATTTCTTTTGGAAAGAATACAGACCAGGAAGGTCTAGTAAGGAAGATAAATACTTTCACTTTTAGAAGTATCAGAAGCTCTAGCATCTAGCCTTGCATTCACAGGAGTAGAGATGTTGATATGGTAGGTGGGGGGAGGGGGACATGCAAAGAAAGGAGGGACCTCCAGGGTGACATGGAAGGGTATTTGGGTAAGTATAAAATTATGATAAGGTGAGATAGTAGAGGGATAAGATCATTTAGAATTAAAAATGTGCTTCTGGTCTTCTACTTTGTTCCAAGAAAATACTGGGCATGTGACATTAAAAAGTAAATCTCTTGGGCCTCCCTGGTGATGCAGGCAGTTGAGTGCCCGAACTGTGAGTCTGTCCGCAGCCTCTGCAGCGTGGGTTCAATCCTGGCAGGCCAGCGAGAATCCCACATGGTGGGGCAGACTTCTCCTGTCTTGCCCGCTGCTCCCCTTAGCAGCGTATTTTGTCAGTCTGTCTGTTCTGGTACCTGCTGTCTCTGATGAATCCTTTCACCCTCCCACGCATATGGCCTGTACCATGGTTCTTTTATAAAAATAAATAAATCTTAAAAAAAAAAGAGTAAACCTCTTAAGGCCTCCCTGGTGGTACAAGGGGTTAATTCTAAGCAGGATGAAGCTATCCCGCAGCACTGCAGCATAAGTTCTATCCTCAGAAAAAGAGCTAACCCACATGGCACAGCATACCATTCCTGACTTGCCTGCTGCTCCCCACAGCAGTGTATTTCAGTAGATCTGCCTGTTCTGCTCTTACTCTGTCTCTGGTGAATCCTCTCACCAGCTCCCCCCCATGTCTGGCCTATATGCCTGACCTACACCCCAGCTCTTGTATGCATAAATAAATAAAATAAATCTTTTTAGAAAAGTAAACCTCTAGAATATTTTCTTTTTGGCCAAATGTTATATTTAGTGTTGGCACAAACTGTTGCCATATTGTAGTACTATTAGACTTTTCTCAGAGATGTGAGTTCAGGAGCAGTAAGTCTCCCTTTCCCTGTGTCCATGTCGGGGAGGAATTTAATCCACTGCTCTGAGTATCCCAGGTGACCACCACATGAGCAAAATGTCAGCTGTCACCTGTATATTCCCTCAGTCTATATAAGCCACCTGCATTCATCTCGGCCATTAATCATGTGGAATCCTTTGCTTTTAATCCTTTCCACTTTGTGTCCCAAAATTCTCTTTAGATTCCATTAAAACAAATAAAATATGGGCTGTGTCTTTTGACATTTTTAAATAACAATGATTGCTGCTAATATTGTTGACCATTGGCAATCTTGACAGTGAGATATTAATCTATGATCTATCACCTCATTAAATGACAGTTAGACAATTTTATTATCTTAAATTTGCAGTGAAAATATACATTCAAGAGTTGAAAAACTAAGCAAAATAAGTCAAAGGAGAAAGACAAATGCTAGATAAATTCACTCATATTTAGATTATAAAGAAGCAAAGCAAAGGAACAGAAAAAACCACAACCAAACACACCCTTGGGTTCTGACTACAGAACTGCGGTTATCATTGTGGGGCACTGGGTGGGAGCAAAGGGTGGACACACCCCGTGGACTGTGATGGAGGCTTACTGGGCATTTTTCTCAGAGGAAAATTTCTAAGTGCTCTCAGATAAGCCCACGTGGCTATATTTTGTACTATTCAGCTCCTGATTTCATTTGTCTAAAGATAGACCACCTTAGTCTTGGTAAAACTTATAAGAGCAGTTAGGAATATTACTTAAAGTTAAAACCTAAATGGTTTTAACTAAAACTGAAATGGTGGAGGCTTTTTCTATTAGAAATAAAGACATTATGATCTCTTCTTAATTTTACATGATGCCCTATTCTGCATATGTTAAAAAAAAAGTTAGACGTGGCTTCTAAACTCATAATCCTACATAGTCTTGAAATTTTCATTAAGAGGAGAGTCATTACAAAATGATATTCATAGTAAGAATGAATGAATTTAAAGTATGAAGCTACAAATCTGATTAGCTCTCTTGGATCACCAGTAGTGAAAACCACAAAATAAGAGGCTGAATATTAGAAAAGGAATAACATAGTTACCTGTATGATAGTGCAGATGAGCTGTATTTCGTATCTCATGTCTCACAATCTAATAGTGTTAAGTTCTGTCTCTGAAAACACAAGGTTCAGATATAGCATGTAATGGTGCTCAGAATTCTTAAAAAAGGCACAAGATGAAAAAACTGAAAGCATTTTACACCAATTGCTTTGCTTTCTTTAACTTATTATTATCATAACTATTTATTCAGATAATGTTGGCTTACATCATTGTTTGTATTTGAGAGAATAAGATCCCCCATTTAGGTGTTATTACTCTAGTGTACCCACCACCACAACACCTGTAGTCTAGCACCATAGTCCATTGTTCCCCCCACTTTGTTCTTATTTTAATTTTATTTATTTATTTATACAAGAATCGGGGTACAAGCCAAGTGCACGGGAGGGTGAGAGGATTCACCAGAGATAGAGTGGGGAACGGAACAGGCAGACTGACGAAATACACTGCTGAGGAGAGCAGCGGGCGAGACAGGAGAGGTCTGCGCGCCATGTGGGACCCTCGCCAGCCAGCAGGAATCAAACTGGCACTGTGAAGGCTGAGGACAGCTTCAAAGCATGGCGCTCAACTGCCTGCACCACCAGGATAGCACCTCCCCAACTTTGTTCTTACCCCTCCTCTTTCCTCTCTGGAATCCTCAGTTCTATAGTCAGGCAAATTTTTGTTTCCTCTTAGAGCAACAGACCATAAAATCAAACTTTACAGTTATCAAAAAATTACTTAGAGTTCTGAAAAATGACTCCATCTAGAATCACATTCCTCACTAGTCACTACAAACAACTTGAAATGTATTTCGGGAGAGGGTCTCTCAGTCGTTTCCAACAATGTTAGTTTATTTAGATTTCACGTGACATGGAATTTTTAATTATACAGATTATAATTGGCATTTTTGTGATCCTTGCATCTTATTTCATCATACTCTCACTAAATCTAGAGCGCAACATTCCAACAAAATGGCTTCTTGCTTTTACTGGCACACAAAATATATATATATATATTTAACAACAATAAAAAATCATAGTAATTTTCTATTTGCATCACTTTGAAATGCTTCTGAAATCAATTTGCACTGATTTGTTCCTGATTTGTCCTATGGATAATTTCTACAGAGAAAATAAAATCATTTCATGGTTGAGAAAAATATCAAACAAGAGGAGACCTTGAGAAATCTAGAAAATAGTCACTAAAGTTTATGAGACTAGATAACAAACATAATAGTGGGACAGTCTTTCTCCCAACTACTCATCTCTGTTGGTATAGTTCAAAAATAAGCATAGATAAGAAGTAGGGAAATGAGTGCAGATGGATTTAACTAATGGGCAGGCCATATTTTGCCAAACCATGATCGTGTTATATTTTACTGACTACTTTCTTCATTTACTAAGGCATCTTTTAAAATTAAAACATATTTCCAAATTTTATTTTTGACTGTCGCCATGTATACAACAAGACCATCTAGCTTTAGAATCAGATTCAAGTGCACACTGGTATTAAGTACTGTTGACATTTTTTGTGTCACCATCGGTGCCATTCTTCTCCAGACATGTTCCATCGCCCCACACAGTACCCTTTTAAAATATGACTCCCACTTTCACTGTCCCCTCAGCCACTGGTAATCACTGTTTAACTCTCTGTCTTCTGAATCTGACTACTGTAGGTACTTCATAAAAGTGGAATCATACAGTATTTCTCTAATTGAGTCTAGCATATTTTACTTAGCCTACTACCTTCAACGTTCACTTATGTTGTGGCCTCTCAGAATTTCATTCCCTTTGTTAAAAGGCTATTGTTTAGACAAGTTCTAGGTTAACAACAAAAATGAATAGAAGGTACAAAGATTTTCCATTACCCACTCCCATAAATTTGTTACAATTGAGAAATCTATATTAACACATCATAATCACCCCAAAACCGTGAAGTCTACAGGAGGTTTCATTCTTGGCATTGTAAATTCTATGGGTCTGGAATAATACTTGGATAACATGTATCCATCATTTGCGTATCATCTAGTGTATTTTTATTGCCCTAAAAATCCTCTGTGCTTTGCCTATTCATCCCTCTCTCTCCCATTCCCTAGCAACCACTGATCTTTTTACTGTTTACAGTTTTGCTTTTTCCAGAATGTCATATAATTGGAATCATCCAGTCTGTAGTCTTTTAATATTGGCTTCTTTCATGTAGTAATATGCATTTATGACTCTTCTATGCCTTTTCATAACTTGATAGCTCACTTCGTTTTAGCATTAAGCAAGATCCCATTGTCTGGATCTAGCACCGTTTATTTGCTCATTCATCTATGAAAGACATCTTGGTCATTTCCAAATTTGCAATTATAAAAAAAACATGTCTGTGCAGGTTTTTGTGTGGCTATATGTTTTCAACGCTTTACTGGGTCACGTGATAACTATAGCTTTGTAATAAAGTCTCCAACTGTCTTACAAAGTGACTATGACTAATCTATGACCACTAAAAAATGAATAAACTTTGCACTTACTTCACATCCTCACCAGGATGGTTGTGTGTATTTTGAATTTTGACCATTCTATGAATAGCTCATTGTTGCTTTCATTTGCGTTTCTCTGATAACATATGATGTGAATCATCTTTCTATCTGCTTGTTTGCCATCTGTATATCTTCTTTGACGAGGTATCTATGAACATTTTTGGCCCATTTTTTAATTAGGATATTTCTTATTGTTGTTTTAAGATTTTTCTGTATATTGTGGATAAGTCTTTTATCATATGTAACTTTTGCAAATATTTTTCCCAGTCTCTGTTTTATCGTCTCATCTGCTTGATCATGTACTTTCAAAGCAATTTTATCTAAACATTCCAATGATGTATCAAGGTTGCTGTAAGAAATTCAGGGAAGAATGCACTTCTGTTTAAGTCTAAGGCAACTCCTCCTGAGTCATTGCAGAGATAACAGCGATAACAAGTAAAAGATCACAAACAGAAATAGAAATCACAGGAGTAAATTGAAACTTTACAGTCCAACCATCACATTTCCCTAATGTACATACACTCTAAAGACTTTCTTTGGTCATTTGAACACTTTCATTGTTTGCAAAAGAGATCACTGGGATTCTGGTGTCAGGTAAGATAGAGTTGGTACATTCTTCCACTGAATGCAGTTATAAAACATGGACAGTTTGGCTGAGTAGATATTTGAAAATGCTTAAAACTGAATAGTTGTAGGCAGACTGAGGAAGATTAGAATTCTCACTGCCACTGCATCATCAGAGGCCCACCAGTTTGGTCTCTGATATCTCTAGATATGATCTTAAGCTTCCTGAAAATCAGAAGTGGGCAGTCTTGCAGAATAGAGTGTGCCAAGAGAAGTCCTCAAGTTTTAGCTTGCAGTACGGGAAAGGGATCTTCTCGTGGTCAGAGAGAGTAGCTTAAATTCCCCTTTGTTATTGTTCCTTCCTCCTTTCTCTCCTGTGCCAGCCCTTAGCAATGGCAGCGGAAGTAACAGCAATGATGATGGGTAGAGGGCACACCATGAGGAAGTGGAAACTCCTTACAAGTCAGAGAAGATTGAGTCCCAGAAGAGTGGTATAAGCACCTGTTACTTTTCTTCTTTTTCTTACTTCATGTAGTTTCAGGAAATGACTGCAACTGCAGGAAGTACTGGATAGAACTGCTACAATGAAGTCTTGCATTTTTTACTGAACTGGAAAAAGGAGCCCCACAGAGGACACAGAGAGGAAAAAGTTGGCAAAATGACCAGAAAGAAGTAGTTTTTGAACTCCTGGGAACACTTCCAAGAGGCACATGAATAGCTTTAACACATAATCGCCTATCATCAACTTGGAGAACTGCATAGAGCACCACCCAGAACTCTGAATGGCTAGAGTAACACACGATTCATAGAGCAGATGCAAAAAAACACTGCAAAAATACTACAAAGGAAATAGTGAGGCCAAAACTCCAACAAGGCTTCTCAAAACTTGCAACCAAAAACTAACCAGGCTACTCACCTACCAAAATCAAAATATCAACATTTCCAAAAGGATTATGCATGATTGAGAGGTTCCCAGTACAAGATTCCAGATTCTAAGACATAATCAAAAATTACATGGCTGTGAAGGACCAGGAAAATGTCAATTTGTGTGAAAGGAGACAAGAAGATACCAACAAAGAGATAGCACAATGTAGGGGTTATCTAACAAAGACTTTAAAGCAGTTATTGTTAAAATAGTCCAAGAAGGAAAAAAACCAAAGTTTATTAAAATGAATGGAGTTAAGTCTCACCAAACAAATCCCAGTAAATAAAAACCACAGAATTTTAGAATAGAAAAATAAATAATCCAATTTTGAAACTCACCAGCTAGACTCAATAGTAGAATATAAATGTCAAAGCAAAGAGTCATAGGTAAATAAAAATTATACAATCAAAATGATAGGGAAGAAAATGAATAGAAACTAATGGCCATAGTCTCAGTCACTTGAGGTACAATATTGAAAGCATTAAATTTGGATCATTGGAGACAAAATCTGGAACTATACAGCAAGCAAAAATATCCTCTAGAAATCAAAGTGAAATGAAGACATGAACAGATGAAGAAAACCTCAAAGAATTTATCGCCAACAGACCAGCACTAAAGGAATTGATAAATAAAGTTCATCAGATGGAAAAAGAATCAATAATCTGAGAGAAACTTAAATTGTAAGGAATAAAGGACTAACAACAGAATAAAAAATAACTGGGTAAATACAGCAAAATGTTTTCTTGAGTTCTTTAAAATATGTTTCATAGTAGGACCAGAAATTACAATGCTGTCTGATGTCATTTTCCAGGCTAAAGATGCAAATGTAAGACTATGTCAGAAAGGGGAAGAGATAAAAGATCCTAAGTAGTGGTAAGTCTCTACTTTCCTCTTGAACTGGTAAATGGGAAAGAATTTATTGCTAACAGAGCAGGTCAAAGTAAAAAAAAAAAAAAAACATAAAGTAAATACTAAATATTAGAAATATTGGTCATATAACCTAGTAGAAGACAGGAAAGGAGAAACTAATAAGAGAAGGAACAAACAAATAATAATAGAGGTA